TAATATAAAATAATAAAAAGTAAAATAATATAAAAGTAATAATAAAATAATAAAATAATAAAAAGTAAAATAATATAAAAGTAATAATAAAATAATAAAATAATAAAATAATAATATAAAAGTAAAATAATATAAAAGTAATATAAAAATAAATATAAAAATATATAAATAATATAAAAGTAATATAAAAATAAATATAAAAATATATAAATAATATAAAAGTAATATAAAAATATATAAATAATATAAAAGTAATATAAAAATAAATATAAAAATATATAAATAATATGAAAGATGTTGGAGAAGTAAAAACATCTTCTCCTGGATCGTTTGATAATTGTCGTCGAATTAACATTATTCCAAATAACGTGATATCATCATGATCGTGATTATTCAAGTCGCTCAAATTAGAACAATCATTGAATGAACGTGACGTCACGAGCGAGAAGACGTCGAGAAAAGTAAAGAACAGAAGTGTAACGTTATTTTAAACGTCAGGCCCATCGCGAACATCGTACAAAAGAGTAAGGTCGAAACAGTTCTCGCAAGAAGTTCATTCAGCCTGGTGAATGGCCACTATCTCCTCAGAGTTCGAGGGGGTGGTTTAATCGTCGATGAGGTCGAGGATTTAACGATCGCAGCTACTCGAGGTGACTTCTACTTGTTCGCCGAACGATAGTCGACCACATCGAGTCGATGGTATTAAACGAAAGGATCGGTTCTATGGATAGATATATAGACATGTGGATACATGGATGGATATATACGGGGTGGATCGGATAAATGGGATCACTTGGATGTCTACAATGACTGCAGAAAGTAGTTGCGCCATTTTTTTTTCTTTTTTTTTTCTTTTAATCGTTTTATGGCTTCACTCTGACTATGAAGCCTTTTGCCGTTGTACGCCGATATTCGTGTGTTTGTGGCAAGCAGAGACGTATAACGTATCATTAAATTAAAGTAATTTAGAAAATAAAATTAGGAAATGAATGTAAGGATAGAAAGAAATGGGAGATAGAAAGTGAAATTAAAATTTTATACGCGCACGTACAAAAATGATTATTAATTTAATAATCAGTATATGAATGTCACGGCAAATACGACAACAATTCTTGCAAAGTCATCGTAATCGAGAGTCTGAAGATTTTCCAAAAATGGTCTTCAACGTGTGAGAAAAGGAGCTTTCGTTTTCAGCGACAGCTGATATTGACGACTGAATTGTCGCTCCTTTCTGCATTCATCTCCATTTTAACTGAACCACCCTGTACAGACACGCGGTATATAGCGCATACGTATATAGTGATCCTGAAAGACTGCCTGACCGTTCGCAATTAAGGTTCAGACGCCTTTTTTCCCTTTTCTTTCTTTCTCCTTTTGATACCGCGGATGAATTTCCGTCTCGAACCTCTTACCGCGCGGACTCGATTTATTATCACGGGGCACGATCGCGTAATAAATTCGTTAGAAATTGTTCGCTGACGTCTCTCCGCGCCGCCTTTGTTGAATTGACGAACAGAGTGTATCGATTGCATTGATTGCAGGAAGATTTTCAGCTCGCCGGGCAAAATGGATTGCCCAGGATAATTTCTTTGTGAATTTCGATTAAGCGACACAGAGGGGCTGCTCCCGCGAGGTTGAATTAAGGCTCGCACAGGTCGTCGCGTTGTTCGCGTAGAAATTTCTTTTCTTTCTCTCCTATTTTTTTTTTTTTTTTCTTTTCTTTTTGGTCGTATTTGCATTTATACTCTGAGAGACCGAGCACTCGAATACTGCATAGAAAGGAGACGTATACTGTATAGTCGAGTAATAATTGGACTGGCATATTTTTATGCATTTATGGGAAAATTAAACTGTGCAAAAAATGCAGAGAGTCTCGCGAGAAAATAGAGATACACGCAATTCGTTCAGGCTATATTTCTTCACTCGTATTTATAAAAATTTGCAGCTTAATGAGAATTGATTGCGACCATAAATTTCCCCCCTCCATCTAGTCGCTGCCTTTCCGCGAAAATGCGTTAGTCCGGACTTTAATTTCTATCGAATTTTTTTAAACTCGAAGCTCGAATATCACAGAAACGCATCAACGTAATTTACGTTGACGTTGTTCCATTGCGAAGAAATATGGGAAAATGCGAAACACGTTTTGATTTATGTATATCACGTGCAGGAAAAAAAAAAAGGGAAAATTTTTGGAAATTCGTTAAACTTACTACACATGGAAAGTGGTCTGTCGGTGGTCGGTGTATTCGACACGACCGAACGCATCGTTATTCGTCTGTCGTGTGTGCATCCTTCTTTCTTTTTTTTTTTTTT